CACACACACGCACCCCCCCACACAAACAGCTCCCCCCACACACACACACAGCACCCCTCACATACACATAGCACCCCTCACATACAACACTCACACACACACACGCACCCCCCACACAAGCACCCCCCCACACACAGCACCCCCCACCTCAATGCAGTATGTGTGTATTCAGCAGTGTGTGTGTGTGTGCGTGTATTCAGCAGTCTGTGTGCGTGTATTCAGCATCTGTGTGTGTGTGCATGTATTCAGCAGTCTGTGTGTGTTTGCGTGAATTCAGCGGACTGTGTGTGTACTCAGCAGTCTCTGTGTGTACTCAGCAGTCTGTGTGTGTATTCAGCAGACTGTGTGTGTGTGTACTCAGCAGACTGTGTGTGTGTACTCAGCAGACTGTGTGTGTGTGTGTATCAGCAGTCTGTGTGTGTGTGTACTCAGCAGTCTGTGTGTGTATTCAGCAGACTGTGTGTGTGTACTCAGCAGTCTGTGTGTGTGTACTCAGCAGACTGTGTGTGTACTCAGCAGACTGTGTGTGTGTGTACTCAGCAGTCTGTGTGTGTGTGTACTCAGCAGTCTGTGTGTGTGTACTCAGCAGTCTGTGTGTGTGTACTCAGCAGTCTGTGTGTGTGTGTGTGTGTACTCAGCAGTCTGTCTGTATGTGTATTCAGCAGACTGTGTGTGTGTATTCATCAGTCTCTGTATTCAGCAGTCTTGTGTGTGTGTGTATGTATTCAGCAGTCTGTGTGTGTATGTATTGCATTTGTTGGAGATACTAATAAATATAAGCTTAATTTTATCTATTTATATCATTATTTAAAATTTGTATCATTGAACTCTCTGTGTTCTTTTAAAACAAAAGTTATTAGTTCGGACAACAGTACGAGTTGTTTTTTTCTAAACTTAAACCTCAGTATTTGGGTTTAATTGCCGTGTTGGCACTTTAAGGAGAAAAAAAGTTGGCATGTATTGCGGTTTGGGCACTCGGGCTCAAAAAGGTTCGCCATCACTGCCTTACTCACTGCTTTTTGTCTTTCTCTTCCTGCTAATCTCACTCTGCCTCCACCACTTTTCTTTTCTCTCTCTCCCTCTCTCTCTCTAGACCAGGGGTGCCAAACAGGTAGAACCCCATATGTTTAAAAACTACAACTTCCATGATGCTTTATCCTTCTAAAATAATCATGGGAGTTGTAGTTCTACAACATCTGGGGATCTATTTTTTAGGCACCCCTGCTCTAAACTCTATCCTTCTCCCTTTTCCCTATCTCCCTGTCTCTCCAGTCTCATCTCTCTCCTTCCCTCCCTGCACTCTCCCCACCCTCCCTTGTTCTCTCCTCCCCAGTTTCAGTTTGTAATAAGCAGGTCAAGGTGTTACTGTCTGTTTCACCTCTTTGAGGACATGAGATTCTTCCTCACGTGTGCTCTGCTCAGAAGATGAGGAAGTATCTGGTACCAAAGCGTAATCACCACTCTTCCCCCATCATGCCAGCGTGACGTCACTCGCTCACCTTACCTGACTCTGTCTAGCAGTTTAACCAAAGCTGTTTATAAGGCGTCTGTCTGTGTCTTCAATGTCTTCTGCCTGGGATTGTCTATAGATGGCCATTCACTAACTGTGATGGATTATCCACTTCTTCCAAAGTAAGCGGTCTAAAAAAGGCCATCAGCATTACACATGAAATGCATTATTGATGTAGAAGACATGAGCCCCATAACTTTATATCACTTTGTGTCATTTGGACATCCAGCTACAAGACTGCCCAGACCATAACTACTGACACAAATAATGAGAACTGTGACACCAGACCATAGTGAGAAATTATTTAGCGCTATAGACTGCTATTGCAGGCATCATTATTTTTTTAAAGTATTGATGCAGGTTTTATATTGCTAGGTTTTTCATATAATACACAGTGTAAATCAATAATCTGTTGAAACAAATGAAAATCCAAATGGCAAGATTTAGATCTGTAACGAAGCTCCAGTACTCCGGCTGAAAGTTCCCTTTGGCTGAAGAAGACAGCTCTGATAGAGCCATTTATCCAAACACCAGACGACACAATCTCAACAGGGGGTCATCAACTGGGACAATAAGTATCCTCCGTATTGCTGCTGTGTCTGAGAGATAACCAGATCAATTACCAATACTCTAATGAGCTTCCAGACAACAAGGTGCCTTAACTGAATATCTCCCATAACATACATTTATACATTAGAAAACCCCACATATATGGTATCACCAGATAGCTCATCCCAGAGTGCCCAAAGGGGCAAAATAGCGCTGTGATCCATCACAGGTGTCCGAGCTACATCCGATTAAAGTTTCAGTGGGTTGTCCTCAAATTATTATCCGCTCAGCAGTTCCACACAGTTTTTAGGTTTTTCCCGGGTCGGGCGAATGGAGCCCCTAGAGCGGAATAGTTTGTGGAAGACTGGTTTGGACAGGCCAGGCTGGGTTTCCTTGTCACCCTGTGCCCCCAAAAAGCACAGGTTGACTTACACATAAGAGGGGACTGGGAAGCTTGGAAAGAGAGTTCCAGATAAATTCTGCCATGGCCCCCCTTCCAAATTCAAACCTACCTCCATATGTCCCATTCTCAGGGGGTTTACGGTGATACCTACACATTCCAATATTAAATCTGGAACCCTGTTTTTCCATCCCAGGATAGTTCCAGTCACAAGGTCAAAATAAATTCTTAGGAAAACTTCTCCTATTCAAGTGTATTTATGGCTTGGCTTTTTCAGCCTCAATTTTGCAAGCTGGATTTTAAGTCGCCCGACTTTGGCGTTTACTGAATAAACCTTCTAAAAAGTGTGTAACGACCATTTGAATATCACTACCTCTGCATTAAAGGACCACTAAAGTCAATCTGTGGTATTAAAGGGAAACTATAGGCACCCAGACCACTATATCTCATTGAAGTGGCCCCTGTCCTCTTAGCCCTGCGAGTGAACACATTGCAGTTTCAGTGGACAATACATTGCAGGGCTAAGACATCCCCTAGAGGCTGTCTTCCAGAGTTTAACTCATTGAAACTATGCTGGAAGACCTCATGCTTCGCATGAATATATCTAGCGTCCTCATAATCCCCATAAAAAAGCATTGATTCAATATTTTCCTATGAGGAAGTTCTAATGCGCCCACGGCACTCGCCTGGCGTGACTTTGCTGGTGGAGGAAATGGAATTAAGGTGAGTGAAATCCCTTTTTTTAACCCTTTAATGCTAGCATGGGGAAACAGACCTATAGTTAGGGATAGGGGCACACTATAGCATTAGGAACACAGTTTTGTATTTCTAACATTTCTTTTAAATGTTGTTCAAAGAAATTTACAAAAAATTACAAAATTATAAATGGTTTTATTTCATTGTTCATCCATTGCATAAATATCGCGTATCATGTAAGGGCCTGGGTAAAGTATTACATTCATTATCCCTTGAACTAATACATAAAAGTTCCTGAATAACAGCACAGAAAGACAAATACCACCTGCACCTGTTAGTAAATGTAACAAATAAATGTAAAAAGAATTGTTACATTCAATTTTTAAAGGGTCACTCCGGCCCCTTAAAACACTTTAGCTTACTGAAACACTTTATGTGTGAAAAGTGTGTGCTCTTTTTTTCATTTTACAAAAAGTGCAAATTTCTGTAAAAATTGATACTTTTATAAATTAACCTGGTTACACCCCCCCGGCTGTCAATCAGACAACAGATACTGTTACTTCCTGGTTTCATTAGCTTAATGGAGCTAAACTCAAGAGGCAGCAATTGCTCAGAGCACCTGCCTTGCAAAGACTTCTCTTTGAGCTGCATTGGGAAGTCTGTGATTGGACAGCTACAGAAAGTCTGGGCGGGACTAGGAGGGGAGGGCTTGCAAAGGCTGCAGACAAGAGGTCTGCAGGTTTACAAGCTGTTTTTAGATATACACACAAATGAAAAAAAATGCATATATAAATACTATGTTTTTATTTGGACAGCGAAGTGTCCCTTTTAAGGTATGTATAAATAATCTTTCCAGGAGCCCCACACACATTGATTTGTGCACACTCTTATACAGAATGCAACAAGAAAGGGTTATCTCAATTACAAGCCATCTGCGAGCGGTGAAGACGGCCCAGATCGAAGTCTGAGAAAATTGTTTCCGAGCTGGTTAATGGCAAACTGTGGAGTAAAGTGGGTTAGTGATTAGTGGGAAATTTATAAAAATAGTTAGTGAAGAGGCTTATGAACTAGAGGAGAACTCACCAGCCCTGTCAGTGTTATCTGGACGGTGAGATGACATTCTATCCAGAATCTAACTTTTTATGTAAACAGAAGGTATGACATATTACTTTAAGGCCCCTGGTCACCGCTAGACTCTTTGTTTGCAACACTCTTTGATTTTTCTAAACTCGAACTATAATGTTTGATTGCTTTGTGTCCATCCCACGTGGAATGTTTAACTCAGTATTCAAAGTGCATTCTATGCTATACATGATAACAAGGAAAAATTCAATATATTCATCTTTTTAATATACTTTCTCAATAAATAAGCATGGTTTGAACAGTGTCATACTATTGACACTGTGTCTAATTTTCATTATTTGCAACTTAACTGTCAAAAACCAAGTTAATCAATAAACCGTGTACTGAAAATGTCACTTACTTAAAATAGTGTGTTAAAATGACATGACATTACATTACGGGGTAATTATAAAATGTTAAAATGTTGTCAGTCAACATGCTTACACGGTTTTAATGCTTTGGAGCAGTTATGGAATTTACTAACAATTCACTGTTTGGTTAAAGGAACACTATAGTCACCTAAACAACTTTAGCTTAACCCCTTATGGACCAAGCTTCTGGATTAAAATGGAATCATGACATGTCAGACATGTCATGTGTCCTTAAGGGGTTAATGAAGCAGTTTTGGTGTATAGATCATGCTTCTCAGGTTTTACTGCTCAATTCACTTCTATTTAGGAGTTAAATCACTTTGTTTCTGTTTATGCAGCCCTTGCCACACCTCCCCTGGCTATGATTGACAGAGCCTGCATGAAAAAAAAACTGGTTTCACTTTCAATCAGATGTTGTGGCGAACCTCGACACTTGTACTTGGAGGGGCCTGCTTGCCAGCCACCTGCCCACAGACTATGGGCCCTGCAGGGAAACCTGTAAAAGACTACCGAACTTGACCGACTGTTAGCACTGATTTCTCTGGAACTGTTTTGGGCATAGGACCATGTGCACGGTCGGTCAAAACTATGACTTCCAGGAAATTCCTGAACCCCTGAACCGATCTGGGTGATTTTTGGATATGTTGTTCACCCAGATCGGGGCTATCAGGGGATGTATTATAGGGTTTTATGTGTTTCAAGGTACTTTTTGGGGTTTCAGAAAATTGTATGATTTTCTGTGCTTGGAGATAATTGAGTTAGATTAGTACAGTTCCTGATTTAATTATCTTCCAAGCACAGAGGAGGGATTCTATTGTTTGTGTATGGGAGTGTCTCACTATATATCTCTGTTTTTATTGGTTAATCCACTTTGTGCCCCTGTGCCCAACAAGGTCCACCTGGGTGTCACCCTTGTTGGGAAACTTGCATTAAAGGCCAGTGTGCCTCCATTAAAATGCTGCTCCTGCTTACCCTCAACATAGAGTCTCATCTCATGTGTGGGGGAAACGACTGTATCTATCCTGGGGATTGCTATATCACTATACTCCCCAGGAATTATAACCACAAGCTCTA